ATGGAGTTCTTGGAGTACACAGGTTTGCTAGTCTTACCACGTTTCATTATCTGTGTCCCACTTTTGTCAATACCTTGTTCACTTCTAAATACCAACACCTCTGTGCCATCATTAAGTGTTCTGACAGATGATCGTTTGATGAGTTCCCTGACATATTTATTCTTAGGGTCTAGTATTAGTCCCTCCTTACCTTTAATAACTCTTGTGACAGCTTGAACACGCTCTACCTGGTTTCTAAAGTCCCTCTTCTTCTCCACTGAAGAAAGTTTATTTAGTCGTTCCAGACGTTTCTCTATGTTAAACCAGTCAGTATCAAAAGTATCATTAAATATATCTAGCACAACTGGAAGAAGACCATCCGGATCTTCCACAAATTCTACTCCTGGAATGTTTGTAGTTCCTGATGGTCCTGAAATGTTTACTGTACCATCGTTTCCTTCGGTGAAAGTTGTTTCTTCTATTGCACGTCTCTCCATGAGATTCCTTACATAGTCTAGTTCACTTTTAAGATCAGTTAATACTAAAGGATCAACATCATACATAACCTCTCCCCTTACCTTTGTATCCAACCTACTAAAAGCTGTCGTTAGGTCATCATAACTGAAGTCGTCATATTGAGGATAACTTTTTTCCATCTCCTCCATTTCATATTCGTCATAGTCCTCTGCACTTTCCATAATACTTTAACTTATGTTAGGGACTTGATGTCTCCAGCTGGTATCCAACTGTTAAATTTGTCATCATAACCTAACCACTTAACTAGGGCCATCTTTTTACCCTTCAATGTTCTTCTCCTTAATACTTTCTCTATTCTGAAATCAGGTTCTCTTCCTTCAGCGCTATACAGTTCTTGTTCATAGAATCTGCCAATTATTGGTTCACCATCACTGTCTTTTATTGTGTACGTGTTTGGATGGCCGTGATACACTTCCGTCACAGTGAATAACTCCTCTGTGAAGTTTGCTTCATACCCTTTTGTGAACACTGATTTGTACTTCGAGATCCTGACACTTTCTCCGACAGCAAACTTTGGTTCTGACGGCTTGCCTAAATTGTGACTAAAAAGTGTCTTCCATACTTCAGTCCAGTTGGACTCATTTACACTGTCCGGTGTTGTTTTAATTGATCTGTTCACTGAACTGTTGTAATTATCAGTTAAGTCTTGAAGGACGTCTAACCATTTATATGTACTAGCACTATAGAAGTACTTCCACATTAGCGCTTTCAGTGTTCTGTTAAACCTTTCCACAACTGCGGCCTTTTTGTCTGAGTAAGTAGAGAAAAATTCAATGTTATGTTTATTGAGCAATGACTTTACTTCTTTGTTGTAGAACTCTGTGCCCTGATCAAACTGGGCGAATTTTGGGTATTTACCAAAACGATTATTAAATTGCTCTAAAATGTTATTGACTGCGTCCTTCATTGATATCGCGTTTTTCCTATACACTGGTACTGTGAATGCGTACCTACTCAGTATTTCAATTGATGTGAGAATCCATCGGTATCCCTTGTTCTTGTCGTCATATTTTGTCATGTCAACTAAATCCATTTGTAACTGTTCACCTAAAGTTTGGACGTACGTCTGTCTGAACTTATGTTTCCTAAATACTTGTCTGTACCTTGTGTATGTGTCCTGCTCATTTATCCATTTCTTGACCTGGTTTCTGGTTACTTTAAGTCCGTCTGATACTGCTCTAAGATATAGTTTCTCTGGTGTTTGAAATCCAGTCTTAGGATTGTAGTAAATATCTCGTAGTCCTTGTTCTTTCATAATATCGTCGTCCATCTTATATTAACCAATGTAAGCTCGCTACTCAAGGTACATCTCGATAAGCACTTCACCTATATCAATAGGTTTCCCGTCTTGATCAGTCATGTGGAATACAAGTTCTGAGAAAGAACCCTTAAGAACTGAAATCCTACTTTCAACATCAATGTAACTAACTACCGAGCCTAATAATGGTCTGTCTGTTGGAACTGTAACACTTGTTATTACATCGCTGGGTCTTCCCAAAGGGTTAACGTTGTAGCTGTTACTTACCAGATTACAGTGTATATTTACACATCGTAGACCGTTATTAAAGTCAACTTTGCTATCACTTGTCAAACTCCTCCCTTTTAGTAGGATCATAGGATTAAAAAATCTATTAAAACCTAACATAGTCAGTAATCGTGTTTCTATTGTGATATCTTGTTTTACTGCCTCTATTTGACATCCTGCAGTTTCAGCAAAGTAGGTTAGCTTAACACCGTGTCTTTCAAGTAACTTCTTCATACTGTCAAATGTGTAGTAACCTTTATTAACAATTACATCAGATTCTCCATCATCTGTTTTCACTTTGAGAATAGTTGTTGGTTCCCTTATGTTGAAGTACTCCCAGAATACTGATACTCTCTTCACAAAGACTGATTTATAGTTGCTTGTTAGAACTGAGTTCTGTAGTGATACAACTGTGTGCGAACTCTGGAGTAAAATTGTGAACTTCATCTTAATAACATACGTTAGGTTATTAAGAATGAGACTAGGTGGAGGACAAGTTGGTAAGTCGCCGTATCGGTCGTACCAAGAATATGAAAAAAAGTATGGAAACAAAGACGATGAAGATCATGTTGATCCTGTTGCTGCTAAAAATGCAGAGAATGCTGAGAGGGCTAGATTTATTAAAAAGTACCCTCACGCTGACATGAATAGGTTTAAATTTGAAGCAAAGGCTACTAGTAGTGGTGATATAGGAGTTATCACTTGGTTTGTTGATTTAGATGGTATATCTTCATATGACATTAGATATGACGGTTTTAAGAAGGATAGGGAATTCACATCTTATCTCACGGGTACTAAGAAAATTATTACTCCAGCTCAGTTTATTCCAATGACTGACATGGAACAGCCCCCGTTAGAAGTACCAGCCAAAATCAAGGCTGGTGGTTGGCCTCTGGTGTGGGATAGTAGTGGTGTAGTTCAGAAAATAAGTTTTACTGAAGGTGATCCTGTTATTGGAAAGTATCCTTCTATTACAAAAGTTAATCCCATTTCTAATTTTAAAGTTTATGTTAATAATAGTGAATTCTTCTATAGTAACCTACCTAAAATTAGTAACTATACTAACGTTAAAAAGGTTCCTCCAGAGTTTAATAAAGAATTATCGTATTATGCTGCAATATGTGGAACTTATGTGGCTACTTATCTGTGTGGAGTTTCTACTTATCACACAAGTCCTCACGATGATGTAAATCCTATTATAACGTCTATCATGAATTTTCATATTTACCTATGGGTTAGAAGATTTGTTAAAAATCCTGATTTACTCCAGCAGTATTCTGATAACCTAAAAGCAATATCTGGGAATATTCCTGTTAAGGGACACTGGGACGTTAATAAGTTTAGTGATAGTAAAGCATCTATTGGAATTGTTTACAGGAAATTCAGAAACGAAGGTAGGACTGTTAGAAATGTTAGGTACGCTAAAAATGCTTCCGGAATAATAGTTGGGATTAGTTACGATGAGCTGGTAGGTAAAACCTCCCTTGCTGGTGCTAACGACTACATGAGGTATTATGCTACCAAAAGTACAGGTCTCGTTGATACTTCACTCATACAGGAAAGCTTGCAGTGTTATGTCTACTGTGTCCTGGGAGCTCAAGCTAATACCAGGTGGGCTATAGTTGATCGTGGAACTTCCTCTTTACTAACACAAAAAGGATTCCATAAACTTGTAGAGAATATGGTTATTCAAACTGATATTTCAACTGGAATCACTAATATGAGAATTGCAATCAGAGACACTAACGCTATAGTAAATACAGCAATTAATCCTGATATTATATTGTTTCCATCAAATCTGGTAATATTAAAAAATCCCATTCCTGGTTATAATAATATTTTACTAAAACCTAACTCTAGTGTTAAGTTTGGTGTAAATGATAACGTAAACTTTGTTGGTGTAAAAAAATCTGATACTCCTAAAAAGCAACATCAGGATTCAACTCCAACAAGTCCCCTTGATACTATTACTTCAGGTAAGCAACATCAACGTGTATCCTCTACTAATAACTCGGATACTCCTCTCGTACCTCATACACAGAAAGCAAACACTTACTTGCAAAATCCTTCTAGAACTCCAGAAACTAGTGTTATAGGAGAAGCTGGAGCTGGTGCAGTAATCGTATTCTTTTTACTAAGAATGCTCCTGTAAAGATTATGTATGTTATAAAAATGGCTCTCTATCGGGGATACAACAAAGGAGTAAATAAAGTTGACCCATCAGTGTGTTTGATAAGGACGGATTTACCATGAAGGGTGACATTGAGATGGACGGTAATGAGGTGAAAGGTCTAGGTGCACCTACAGATGATACGTCTGCGGTCACAAAAAAGTGGGTGGATGATGAGATCATTAAACAGGCTGCTGTTACAATTCAACCAGCAGGGTTTACAATGACTGGGGATATTGACATGGGAGGTAATAAGATAACTAATCTTGATAATCCTACTAACCCAGGTGACGCCGCCAGTAAGAGTTGGGTTGAAGGTAGCCGTAGACATATACATGCAAGTTTACCCGGTCTTATCCTAACAAATGATCTCAATATGTCAACAAATGAGATAAAGGCTCTGGGTGATCCTACAACTGGAAAGTCTGCTGTTAATAAGGACTGGGATGTTGGAATGTTAAATAAACCTGTATCTGGACTTGATATTGCTGGTGATATTGATATGAAGGACCATGAAATTAAGAATCTTTAGGATCCCTCTGAGGATCAGTCTGCTGTCAGCAAGGGATGGTTTAATTCAAACACCAGCAACTTTCTCAAGCTGTCTGGTGGTAATAATCAGTTTATCCGAGGTAGTGTTCTATTTGATGAAGTTCCACATACCAGTAAGGATGCCTCCACTTCTAGCGGTCTAATAAGAAAAGCCCTTCTGGATAAAAGGCTGGCCTATTACGTTCATCGTAACGGTTTAAATACAATGACTGGTAATCTTAAAATGGGTGGACATGAAATAGTAAACGCTGGGAATCCCACCAGCGATCAGTCTGTTATTACAAAATCTTGGTTTAAATCAAATAATGATACTTTTTTAAAGCTTGATGGTTCTATCCAAAGAAATGTCATGGGTACTGTTAATCTTGAGTTCTCTCCTAATAGTTTCCATGATCCTCTAATTGAATCTAGCTTAGTACGGTTAAAGTATCTTAACGAACATACAATCAACCTTCTGGATACTAGTGGTACGAGGACAATGTCTGGTGCCCTTAAAATGGGAGGACATGGAATAACAAACGTTGGAGACCCTAGTGGTGATACATCTGCCGTTAATAAAAGATGGGTAGAAAATAAGATTGCTGGAGGTAGAAGTAAGCGTGAGACTTATAACGGACTAACCCTAAATGATGACCTTGATATGAACAACAATGAAATAATAAAATTAGGTGCTCCTACAACTGATAATTCTGCTGTGTCTAAAAAATGGGTCACTGATCATGTTAGTGGAAGTTCAATTAGCAGTAGCGGGTTCACTATGACAGGTAATATTGACATGGGTGGGTATAGTATTACGGGTCTCAGTAGTGGATCAGCTGGGGACGCAGCTGCAGTTTCCTATAAAGCTATGAGTTCCTGGTGCTCACAGTTTCTAAAGCGTGGTGGTGGTGTCTTATCAGGCAATCTTGATGTTAACGATTATGAGTTAACAAGGGTAGGTAATCCTACAACGGATAGTTCTGCTGTTAATAAGAAATGGGCAACTGATGAGTTCATGAGTAGTAGAGGTGGACTGGTAAAGGGTGATTTGGATATGGGAGATTCAAGTGGTATTCTTGATCTAAGGGATCCGGTAAATGATAAGGATGCAGTTAACAAGCAATGGGTAGAAAAGAATTTCCTAAAACCTTCCTCAGGTCTTGTACAAGCAGTGGCTGATAAGAGATACGTAAGAATAAATCGTCACATTTATGCAGAATGGATCTGGGGTTATCGTGGTGTATCAGTTGCAGCAACAAGGTACTATGCTTGCTGTATATCTTTTTAAAGAGGCTTTTTATTAGCTTAGTTCTTAGATTAAATTTGTAATATTAGTTCTACGTATTTTAATTGTCCTATCCATTGTTGTAAGGCGCATTTGAAAACTGCATTGTTGAATTTGCGCGATATAAATTAATAAATGTTATGTTATGTTATGTCAAGATCAGATTCCACCTTCATGGAGAACAGATACTATTAATAATATGACAGACCTCAACCTTGAGTCAATTACTATTAAATCAGATTTCCCAACTCTTTCAACAGTTCTAAATATACCCCTAGCCCTAATCCTGTGGGCTACTGTATGGGAAAAGCAGTCTAATGGAAAATTTACACAGGTTAAGAAGGAAATCACTCTGAGAACAATAGACTTAAGAAGACTGTCACACACTTGGTTCAATGGAACTTTCACAACTACTGGTGGAAGTACAGCTTGCTATGTTTTCAAGGGTAATAGTATGTTCTATTTAGGAAACCAGGTTGAGTTGGTAGATAACACGCTAGCCTGGTGTATTATAGTTAAACCGGAACACTCAATGCCAACTGGTTCGAGTATGGACTTGTCTTTTTGCTGGTCATTTCGACATTCGTGGTCAGGTGTATAACATGTGTTGTATCATAAAGTATCATGTCAAAGTGGCGCTCATGCTTCTCCTGTTTGGGTAATATCTGCGGCTGTCGTAGGAGGTCTAATAAAAATGGGAAGGTTGGTGATATAAATTTCTCTGTATCCAATGATATTAAGGTTGAGGTGACCACACAGGGTAAAAAGGATGATGTCAACAGTGTATCCAGACTACAAGGGCCCCCTGCCTTGTGTACCCCAAGGAGGAAATAAAAGTTGTCGAAAAGGCTCTGGAATAGGAAGGTTGGACGATATTGGGAAAGTGTAGGATAATCGTATTAGAGTCTCAGCTGGACCCCGAAGCTTTGAGATAAGCTAAATGAAAAACAAGAATAGCAGTTTCACATTCTAATTAAATGGACCCCCTTCTCATGGAACTGCCGAAGTGTAGCGGGACCATTTAATTTTAATATAATAAAAAAATGAATTATTAATTTTCACCGAAGAAAAAAACTAGTGGTCTCGCTCAAAAGCTAGTGGTCTCGCTACGCTAGTTGCTATACTACTACCTTGCAAGGTTTGCAAATTAACACACCTTTTTGTTTGCTACACAGCTTGCAAGTACACACCTTGAAAGGCGTGCAAAATTACACACCTTTGTTTAGCTTGGTCTCAGATCACAGATCTAATTGGAATAAAAAATAAATAAAAGAAGCAACATATCACAGTGTACAATTCACAAATTTAATAATAGCTAAAATCATTAAATATTTACAATATATAAGCAACGATTACAATCATGCAAATATCTATACAAATTAAGATAACAATTTTTAACCTCTGCCAACAAAACAACTCTGATTGACATGGTCCACATAAGTCATAACTAAAAGTTCCATCACAAAGACTGTGAAATAATATTTGAAACATGAATCGAATATTGTTATCAGGATTTGGGGCATCTCACTCGATAGAACTAAATGTTGAAAGTTTTTTATAGATAACATTTGGTGAATCAGGCAAGCCATGCGAGCTAAAGATTCTAGTTGCCGAGCACTAGCTGCAAGATTATGGGCCACAGGTTCCATTCCTCCTGCCAGAGGGCCTATAGTTGAACTTTTTGCAACTACTCCTGGATAAACATATTCAAAATTTCCATCTACTTACAAATGTACAGCTTAGAGCGCTGTACTGGAATCGTATTCACAGGGCCACATGTCTGATTTCTACCAGAGGGCATACAGTTGCATTCATTTGCCACTGTGAAGTCTAAAGTTCACCAATGTTCGCGGGCGTGGCTCACTGTGCGTGGGTGGTCATTCTCACTGATCTCAAAAATATGGCGGACTGTCATGAATAGCCAACAATTAAAGTAAAGTTATCTATGCATGCGAGAATTTGAAATCATTTTATTTCAAACTCAAAGTCTATCGGTAAACCAAAAGGCAGTTTTATTAGTTTTATAAAGAACACTTTAAAACGTTTTGGGAAGCGTTTGTGGTTGAATTTTACCTTAAATTGAAGCTTATATTACGTATATAATAACATAACTAACATATATATGTTTCGAAAATTGGTAATTTTGTAATTAAAGGTGATATTTTTAGAAGATTTTTCATTTGTAAAAAGATTCTTAAAAAATTATCGTGTTACCGTGACAACTACATTGTTGTGTCTGAAGACAAGGGTTTCTGCATTGATGTATTTTCTAGTACATATGCATATACTACATAAATATATGAAAAAACATCAACAACAATACTATACTTTGACCAATATAGACGCAATATATATTTATTATTGAGAATTTGGTAATACTGGACTTTCTGCCTTCCATGCACATTCCGCAAACTGAATGAATTCAGGTTTATGCGTTTTGAACCATTTCCACAACAAGATAATTTAAGTAATGATTGAATGGCTCAGCAGGACTTCTCCAATATTGTAAAGAATTCTTAATAAAGACATTGCAATTCCACGTATTTACATTTTCGTAACTGAAAGCTTACTGAATTAAAACATTTGTCTTACCAACAAGATTGAAAGTGACTTCACAAGTAAACTGGATTACTTTGGTAAGTTTCACAATGTTAATAAATGAATATAATTCTTCTTATTGGTGCGAGCGGGTGAGCAGAAAATTCTAGTTGTCCAAAGGTTGGGAATCGAACACGCGACCTTCGCATATCTAAAACGATGTTTCATCGTCTTAATTACAAGGCGAAGTTGAGTACGAAGTTGAGTTCTTGACATATCAGACTTTCCAGCTTCGATGACAGATGGCAGCTATTTAACATTAATTTACAGGGAATGTATACCCTCGCCTACACGGTGCGCTTTTAATTGACGCGAGGGAACGCCATTTTCATGCATGTAAATAGGCACATACACTTCGACAATTAGTGATCAACTCTGTTCATGGATTTCGTTTTAATTATGAATGTACGCTTGTGAATATAGTTTCAATAAATGCAGGCACTACATATATGGATGCACGTTTCTTTCGCGGAAAGAATGACTCGCCTCAAATGTGAGTTTTGAACAAAAGAAGTCCTTTAAGCCCGTTGCAGACTAGCATATTTTAATTTGCTAATATAAATACAACAATTTTAATTTTCAAAACTTTCGTAGCTATCGACAGCTTTTTCTAGACAATTCTTGTAAGCTTGGCCGATTTTCTCCATGATTCCACCTAAATTAAGTGTGGTAATGTTACTCCCGAATGAGAACACCAAAGAGCCCGGGATACCAATTAAGGAAAGGAAGCATTCAACTTTTGATCGCCATATTTATAAAAATATGTCCGCTGAATATGCCTCGGATGTTTCATTGGCATTACAGGTCTGCGTTGGCAGATATTTTACCACGGGTTGGGTAACTATGTTATTTCGTGAGTGGTGTTTGCTGGCTTCTAGTCAATCATTGATGAGTATGCGTGCGTGCATTGCCAATTGACGATTAGCGTACAATTTACAACAACCCAAATACTTTCAACGATTAAAGATTATAAGTATTTAAAAAAAAATCGCAATGCATAAACGTTGGTTCCGAAAAATACTTTCCTGAAATTTATAGTGCTAAACACCGCCAAACTGTCAGAAAATTAAAAACTTCACCACATAACTACGCGTGTTGAAACATGTCAAAGTTAATAATAGCGAAATTCTTCGCTATCTCAGAAATATAAAATGTTCTATCACCTTCACCATATTATGAACGAAAGCGAGGAAATTATGATTGTGCAAATTCATGTTAGGATTAAAAAGTGGGAATGCTGATAATAAATAATATCTTTGACTTATTTCTCCCAGCATATACTCTTTGAATGTTTTATTTAAGCAACTGCCAGCATGTTGTTGACTAGTGAACTGTATAGTTGGATGATTTTCTGCACAGGGTAAGAAGGACGTGTGAACAGCAGAGACGTTTGTGAAAGTTACACAATTTCTCCTTACCGTCCAAAAATCGTTAGATTTTCCATGATAAATTAAGCAGTATATCTGATGAAATATTGTTTAAAGCACCAGCTGATAAAGGAATGCGGTCTCTTAGCGCGCTTTTCATTGCATTTCATTGCATGCAATGTAAATATGCGCATTTCTACTTGAACATTTACATTGTCTAACTGAAATAGTTGGAAAATAGCAGGGCAATTTCTTCGAAGAAGCGATTCAGTCTTTGTTTTTCGAAGCCGTAAAAATTTTCAATTTAGTCGATAACGTGTTAGGAACAACGTTAGGAAAATATTTGCTAATGCAGATACGCTCGGTAAGTGCATGCATATAAATTTTAATCGGTAAATAGTTATTATTCAGTAATCTGGTTAACTATTTTTCTATTTTCTTTATTTTTTGCAACTGTTTTTTTGTTGTATATGACATGAAGATGAGTGAATAAACCTAATCTAATCTAATCTTATCATCTAATCTTTATAATCTAATCTGGGAATCGAACACGCGTCTTTGCATTTCAAGAACGATGTTTCACCGTCTGAATTACAAGGCAAAGTTGAGTACGATGTGATGTTCTCGACAATTCGGACTTTCCTGTTTCGATGACCAGGCAGCCATTTAACAATTACAACGAATGTATCCTCCCCAATAGTGCGCTATTAATTAACGCGAGAGAACGCCACGACAATTAGTGATCAACTGCCTTCATGGGTTTCGTTTTAAGTATGAATGTGCGCTTCCAAATAAGAACAAGTTTCTTTCGCGGAAAGAGTGATTCGCATCAAATGTTAGTTTTGAACAAAGGAAATCCTTAATCCGGTTGCATGCAGACTAGCATGCTTTCGAAGACAAGCTTTCCACTAAAAAATTACAACCATTCAAATTTTCAAATTATATAGGGCCTATCCGATTATACTTTCGTAGAAACATGACATGGACTCTCGTTCTCAAAATAAGCAATTTGCGATGAAATTTCGAATAATTTTATGCTTGTAAAAAGCAATCGACAGTGTTTTTGCAAGTTTCACTCTCCTAACAGACCAAAGAACCTTCCGGTTTTCCATGGTTAAATTAGAAACATAGACGTGCTTTTCAATTATCATGAACCCGCTGAGAAAGGAATGCGATGTCTTAGTGCGCTTTAGAATTCAGGGAGAGAAAGACATGCACTTGATAGTGACTGCACAAGTAAACAGGGTTAGTTTGGTAAGTTACAGAATATTTCTTTTATATTGTGATATGTAGGTCAAGTTAATGGACCTTTAACTTTATAACTAAAATTTTGATCTAGACAAGTCTAGACAACAATTTCGGCACACCTTGAAAGAGCATCACAAAATTAGTAATATTCCGAAGTTTCGTTGCGATACGTTGTAAAATGCGGATAGTATATTCTTGCGAAGTTTGCAATTTTGAGTCATTTTAGATTACAAACTGGAAATTGATACCAAAACACCCGATTTGGGTATCAATTTCCCGTTTGTAATCTAAAATGACTGAAAATTGCAAACTTTGCAGGGCTATATTATCCGCATTTTACAACATTTCGTAACGAATCTTTGGGATATTACTAATTTTGTGATGCTCTTTCAAGCTGTGATGAAATTTTTGTCTTGATCAAAATTATAGTTATAAGGTTAAAGGTCCAATACATTGTTGTTAAAAGTTAACGATTTAGCAAATTGAACTTATTTTCAGCAACATATCTTGATGATAAATTATTGTTATTATTGTATTTTAATTTCACATCCCTTAAAAAGCTTTTCAGCAAAATTTTACATAATTGATCTAAATTTTTATACACTATAATAATAGAGAGACACGCATAACAACACACAGTCACACAACACACACACACACACACACACTTGGTAGTACTACACAAATATATATGCTATTTACATCGAAATTTCTTAAGATTGGTCCTATATTTAAATGTTTCTACAAGTCTCTGTTTTAAAATATGTTTGAAGTCTTTCGTTGTTTCTAAGTTCTGGTTTTAAGGAATTCCAAATTGTGGCCATTCTGAATTTGAAAGATCGTTGCCCGGTTGCTGTTCTGTGTGAAGGAGTTTCAATCATGCTCGAGTTCCTAGTAACGCGAGATGAAATGTCACCTCGTCTCACAAGCTGTTCAGTTAGGTATGCAGGTGCGTTTCCTGTCATGCATTTAAATGCCATGACTGCATCACGAAAATATAAATACTGTCGAACAGGAAGCCACTTTAGTTCTTGCAGGATTGGTGTGACATGATCGTATTTGCCAACTCCGCTAACTATTCGACATGCAGAGTTCTGCACTACCTGTACCTTATTTAAATTTGTTTGAGAAGTGTTGCTCCAGAAAGTAGAGCAATAATATAATTTTGAAAAAACTAGGGAGTTAATAATAATTATTAATGTGTGTTTGTCATAGCACTGTTTCACGCGGTTTATTTGACCTAAACGAGACATACATGAGGAGATAGTGGCTTGTACATGGCTGTCGAACGTCATACCAGAGTCCAAGATTACGCCGAGATCTTTGGCGCTTGTTACAGGAATGATTTCTTTACCGAGAAGTGAGAAGCGAAAAATAGGAAATTTTGCTCTCATCTGTCTGCTACCGCATATCATGGCCTTAGTTTTTCCTGGGTTTAACAGTAACTTGTTATCAAAACACCAATTACGTATTCTCAAGAGATCTTGATTTATTTCTGAGACAGCTCTTTGTTGGTGTTGCAGAGAAAACGACATTAGGAGTTTTGTGTCATCGACATAGGAATAGAGAGAGCATTGTTGTGGATCTGATGGCAAATCGTTCACATAAATACTAAACAGAAGTGGCCCAAGTATACTTCCCTGAGGTACTCCACTCTTTACCTCTAAAGGCTCGGATAAGGTTGTTTGTATTCTTACTACTTGATACCTGGATGTTAGGTAGCTTTGGAACCATTGAATCGCCTGAAAAGACGCGCCAACATCTTCTAACTTAGTAATCAGAGTCGTGGTATCTATGCTATCGAATGCTTTGCTCATGTCGAGTAATACAATCGCAGTTAGCTGTTTCTTGTCAATGGCATTCAGGATCATGTCTGTAGTCTGAATTACCGAGGTTTCTGTTGAGTGTAGATGGTTGTTTCCACTTTGTTTAGACGATAAACGATCATTCAAGAGAAGGTAGGTCGAAAACTGATTATAGCTGCTCGTTTGCAGATCTTTGATAGCACTGGCAATAACGATATAGGTCTATTATTATTTGCGATCTCATGATCACCACTCTTGTGGATAGGAACAACTTCAGCGTTTTTCCATGCGCTCGGAAAACTAGAGGTTAATATTGAAGCATTGATAAATGGTTATAACTTGGACAGGGACAAAGGTAAAAATATATATATCATCTGTTTGTCGCATCAAAACTAAAGAATACAGTATATCCTAGATATATATGCATACCACCATTGCAGTTCATTTACTAACCTCACACATATCAATTAAGCATTTACTAACCTCACACGTACCACCTTGCAAGGTTTGCAAATTAACACACCTTTTTGTTTGCTACACAGCTTGCAAGTACACACCTTGAAAGGCGTGCAAAATTACACACCTTTGTTCAGCTTGGTCTCAGATCACAGATCTAATTGGAATAAAAAATAAATAAAAGAAGCAACATATCACAGTGTACAATTCACAAATTTAATAATAGCTAAAATAATTAAATATTTACAATATATAAGCAACGATTACAATCATGCAAATATCTATACAAATTAAGATAACAATTTTTAACCTCTGCAAACAAAACAACTCTGATTGACATGGTCCACATAAGTCATAACTAAAAGTTCCATCACAAAGAGTGGATAGAAGACTCGAAAACATAATGGCATGCAATAACATACGCTGAGTATCTAATAGTCCATTATTACATCATATAATTACATCATATATTACATCATATTACATCATATATTATGTTGACGAGACAACACGCTTTGAAACACAGCTCACAAAAAATGTCGAAATCTACCCTAAATGCATCAACTGAAAAGGCAAAAACGAGATCATCCGAAGTTTATGATATTCCAAACGAATCAGAAGTAAAAATGGGAATCAAAGCCAAGAAATAAAGCGCATCGACCAAATCTACAATATGGTGAAATCCATGATGGCGAAATTAGACACGCTAGACGAGATAAAAGAACGCATTCTTTGCGTCGAGAGAGATATGGGGCACATGAAGGACTCAATCGAATTTGCCCATGCAGAATTACGGGAATTAAAAGAAGAAGCCGATAAGTCCAAAAGAACCAACGATCTTAACGCACAGAAACTACGAGAGCTAGAAGATTCAAACCGTCGTCTACAAGGGAGCGTCATTGATCTCAAAGCACGATCCATGCGGGATAACTTGCTTTTCTTCAATGTCAACGAAGACGAGAGAGAAAACACGACGGAGAAGATTTACGAAATCTTAGAAAGAAATCTAGAGATTCCCAAAGCCAGAGACACAATAAAAATTGATCGTTCTCACCGAATCGGAAGGAAACGCGAGGGCCAACGCAAGCCTAGAGCAATAGTTGTCAAATTTAACTTTCACCAAGATCGAGAGCGAATACGATTAAACGCCAGAAAGCTCAGGGGAACGCGTATTGGAATCGCGGAGCAGTTTCCCGAAGAAATTGAGAAGATTCGCCAAACCTTATACCCTGAGTTAAAGAAGGCTAAAGCGCAAGGACACAGAGTGCGTATGGTACGGGATAAATTATATATAAACAATGTTGAGTTCAAACCTTCAACTCATAATTAACATTACCATCTTTTCCTATTTTAACATATATAAATAGACGCTATGGCTACTCTAAAATTAGGTAAGAAATATTGTTCTTCTTGTTTCCTTAAAATAAGTATGGATCAAAAAAGCATTAATTGTCTGACATGCGGGGGATGGTTTCATGCTCGCACCGCATGCATGAAATCACCTGTCACATGTCAACAAACGGAAATCGATATATGCAACATGTGCTTAAGCTGTTCGCTTCCTTTTCACTCAATTGATGATTTAGAATTCCATTTTATTTTTGGCGATTTCAGTCGAGTTCCAAGTGATGAGTTTATGGATAGATTAACGCAACTCAAGTTTAATCCTTTTCACATTAATAATAATAACATTGCAAACGCTCAACACTTTGAGAATTATATGCCGGAAAATCTTGATGATTTGACATGCAATTATTACCTACCAAACGACTTTGCTATGAGTAATATTACTGATAACAAAAATCTGTCGATACTAAACCTTAATGTAAGAAGTATAGCTAATAAGTTTGACTCGTTTAGGAATCTTCTAAGTACTTTGAAACAACCTTTTCCTATAATTAGCCTAACTGAAACTTGGCTAAATGACCAAAACAGTGAAAATTTCCATCTTACTAATTTTGATTTTGTTTGCTCAAACAGAGCTAATAAAAAGGGCGGTGGAGTAGGAGTTTTTATCTCAAATAATTTAAACTACAAACTACGAACTGACCTAAATATAAACGAAGACGAAATAGTTGAATCACTTTTCATTGAAATTATTTCAACAACTGGTAAAAATATAATTGTTGGTACTATCTACAGACCGCCAAGTGGTAATTTTGCAATGTTTGAAAATAAACTAAATGCAATACTAACCGAAGTTGACAAAACAGGGAAAATAACATATTTGACAGGGGATTTTAACATTGATCTTTTGAAATCTGATGATTGCGATTATTCCAATAGTTTTGTGAGCAACTTTTTACTTCATCTTTTTATCCGCTGATAAATAGACCAACTAGAATTACGCAGCATACAGCCACGTTAATTGATAATATCTTTACAAACAATCTTGAACAAATAGAATCTGGTGTAAATGGACTAATTTTCTCAGATATTTCAGATCATCTCCCCATATTTCATATAGCTTCTTCATCCACAAATAAAAATAATACAAAAAGAGGAAATGAACATTATAGAAGAATGGTCGACAAAGATAATCTTGCTTCGTTTTCATTATCTGTGAAAAATATATCGTGCGAAAGTACTTTCGAAACCAATGACCCTTGTGAATCCTATACGAATTTTTACAATAATTTGAAGGTAGCAATTGATAAATGTTTTCCTTTAGCAAAAATAAAAAAGAAAACTGTGGATCACACAAAAATCCCTGGATGACAATTGGTATATTTAAATCTATATCCAAGAAAAATAAAGTCTATAAAAATTTTCTAAAAAAGCCATCTTATAGAAATGAAACAGCCTATAAAAAATACAAAAACAAACTGAATCACGTAATAAAAACCGCAAAAAAGGCCTATTATGAAACACAATTTATTAAGTATAAAAATGATATTAAAAAGACATGGCAAACTATTAACGAAGTTCTTAACAGAAATAAAACTAGATCAAAACTACCCGATACTTTTTTACAGAAGAATTCAAATAATAATGTTTCAAATCCTCTGGAAATTGCTAACAAATTTAACGAATATTTTGTGAAAATTGGTCCACAACTAGCCAAAAAAATTCCCAAAAATGATAACATAACGTATGAAAGCTACCTTAATGGTAACTATGTTGAAAGTATGTTTATATAACCTGTGACTGAATATGAGCTGCAAGTTGAGATTAATAACTTAAGTGAAACTAAAAGTGCAGGACATGATGACATAAGCGCGAAAATGATAAAGATCATCAGTGAAGAAATAATTAAACCTCTAACATATATTTATCATCTATCATTTGAAACTGAAAAAATACCAAATTTTTTGAAAATAGCTTTAGTTACTCCTATTTTCAAAGCTAAGGGAAATAATCTATTTGAAAACTATCGACCTATATCGGTATTAACTTGTTTTTCAAAACTACTTGAAAAACTTATGCACAAGCGATTAATTAACTATGTTGAAAAACATCGTATACTTTCAGAACATCAATTTGGTTTTAGAAAAAATAGATCAACTGAGCATGCCATTGTTGAACTAACCGATAAGATATCCAAAGCAATAGATGAAGGTAAATATACTGTAGGTATTTTCCTTGATCTCTCTAAAGCCTTCGACACTGTCAATCACGAAATTCTCATAAAAAACTTCAACACTATGGAATTAGAGGTATAGGTCTACAATGGTTTATAAATTATTTACAGGAAAGAACTCAAATGGTCAAATATAAACAACATAGGTCAACTGAAATGAGTGTTAGGACTGGCGTCCCACAGGGTTCAATTCTTGGACCACTACTATTTCTAATATACATTAATGACATTGAAAACTGCAGTAAAATTCTTTCTTTCGTCTTATATGCCGATGATACAAATGCCTTTTATTCAAATTCGTGCCTAAAAACTTTAGCTAGTACTATACAAAATGAAATGAATGAAGTAGTGCAATGGCTTAACGCCAATAAATTATCAATCAATGCATCGAAAACAAAATTTGTCATTTTTAAATCAAAAAATAAGTCACAGCATCAAGAAATCATAGTAAAAATAAATAATGATATAGTTGAACAAGTACCTTGGGTAAAATTCCTAGGTGTATTAATTGATCAAGAGTTGACATGGAAGAATCACATCAACACCGTTCTGAAAAACATAATTAAATCTGCGGGTCTGATTGCTAAACTAAGACATTTTACGAACAAAAACTCTTCGAAATTGATTTATTATGCATTGGTCTATCCATACCTCACGTACGGAAATCTAGTTTGGGGAAGTACATACCCAACAAGGTTACAAAAGTTACTAAATGTGCAAAAAAAAATTGTACGACTAATCTGTTTTAAATCTTATATGGATCATTCTGAACCAATATTTTTACAATTGAAAATCTTGGATATCTACAAAATTAATGATTATCTATGCAGCTTATTCATGTATAGCTTCAATTATTGTCAAAATTTGCCGGACTTTTATAATGATTACTTCAAACAAAATAACGAACTATACAACTATAATACTCGAAATTCTACCAAGTTACATGTGAGCTATAAGAGAACAAACTATCGCAAATACACTGTATTTAACAAAGGCGTTTCTATATGGAATTGCCTTGATGAAGAAATTA